CCCTGTTTAAACCAGTAATTCAACTCATGTGCGCACAATTCAATAAACACTGCCAACGCCTTCTGCATCCCAGGCCGTGAAATAGAGCCTGCAGGAGACAGCCAGGGCTTCTGCTTTAGGGAGCTCACAGCTGCTCTTGTAGGGGCTCAGCTCCTGGGTTTCACATTTCTAACCAATCAACCTGAGTCAACAGGTTAGAAAGAGGAAACTGAAGATGCCATGCAGTGTTCACCTGCAGAAGCAGGAAGGACTCATTCAGCCCAGGTCCTAAGGGTCACTTTTCTGGGCCTGGAACTTGCAAGGCTGATTCTACAGCCCTTTGCACATCAGGGCCTCTGGGGACTTCGCAGATACAGTCACCTTCCTGGTCCTCAGAGACATGCCATGAGAGCGCACTCTCACACTGCTGAGTCCTGCCCAGACTGCTTGTAGAATGCTAGGGCACTAGAACCTTTCTGACATCTTCCTGGCCACTGCCAGGGCCAGCCTTGTGATCTGGGACTCTCCCTGTCTTGTTACTTGAGATGCTTTCTTCCTGCCAGCATCGCCCCAGCTGTCCTGGACTTCAGTGACCAAGAACAGACTTCAAAAGGCGAAGTGGAAGGTGACCATCTTCAAAGAGCCCTCCAGCTTCTCAGAAATCTTTGGCGCCCAGCCCTGACCTCAGGTCAGTTTCCTGCAAATGAACTTGTGACAGCTCCATGAGGGTAGGGACTGTGTCTGTCTGATTCACTGCTGTCACTGACAACCTCAAGGACAGGACTGGAATACAGCTGGTGCTCAATATCAATTTGCTGAACGAATGTAGAATGGCCTCTATCAAGGAAAGAACAAAAAGCTCAAGGGAAAGATCCTGGGCTTCAGAATCAGACATACTTGGATTTGAAATCTTCTAGTGATATCATTTACACTGGCCAAGTTCAAGTACACCATCCCTTCTCAGCCTCATCTTTGAGCAGCGATCATAACACCAACATCACAGCATTGTGAGCAGCATTAGTTGGAAATGACATGTAAAGCTTTCAGCACAAAACAAGGTAAAGAATGCATCTTTGTTTTCAGTTCATAAACACGTAGCTCTCACTGAATGCTAGATGCTGTTCAAACATGGTAGGAGGGGTCACAAATTGGAATTAGTTCCTTTAATACCTGTAACAATCTGGTGAGAGGAACTGAGCTCATTTGCTGCTGAGGAAAGTGAGACACAGAAAGGGGAGGCAACTTGCTCAAAGCCTGAAACCTAGAGGTACAGACCCAGGATTCACAGTAATTACAAAGCCCGTTAAGTCCTATGGAAAACAACCAGTGAAAGCTGGTTTGCGTCCTAACCCTAGTTTGATTATGGGAGATATTTCAACCACATTGCAAGACTGGTGTTTCATTCACGAAAGACACAGATCCAGGTATTCCCATGGCTTACCGCTTTGCTCTGCCTTGTAAACTATGGCCTACTCCCCTGAAATCCAATTTTGGAGAAGTTTTGGATAAGAACTTCCCTCTCATCTTGTCCTCCTGCTACCTCCTTCTCCCCCATCATCTACCAGGAAAAAAAAGCACAAAGCAATGCAAAAAGAAGATAAGAAATGAAAAAAGCAGACAGACAGAAAGAGAGAATGCCCAAAAGAACAAACATCTGTGCCCCTACAAACAAAGACAAAGGAGGTCTCACCCCACCACAAAATAAACTGTAAGAACAACTGCTACACATTTGGGAGCCCAAGGCCAAAGCGATCTATCCACATAGAGACGAACTACATAAAGTCTCAGCCCCTCTGAAGACCAAGGTAACAGAAAGAATTAAGCCATCTCCTGCAATGGACGAAACCTCATCATAAAGACAGCTTTCCATTCCTTCCCTTTGAGACTGCATTTGCTCTACTGCCAACCACGAAGGAAATTTCATTATAAAATAAATCACTCGACCTTGCTTCTCCAATGGCTCACGATAAGTGACATCACAAAGCACTCTACAAATGCTCAGAAATATCAGAATAACCCCCTTGCAGAAAAAACACTCGGTATTTCATGAAAAGACATTAAATTATTTTGATTTCACTGCATGGAATTCCAAATGCTTTCAATATTTTCATTTTTGAAGCCCTTAGAGGAAAAGTATGCTCCTAAGACCTTAAGAACCGCTGCTTTCTGGTCTGGTTTGTGTCCTGAGTCATGTATACATGATGGAGAACAGGCCAGAAGCCAAGGAACGGTAGCTCTGGCCCCACACTGCTCTCATGACTCTATTCTCAAGTAGCTGGAGCCTCGCTGTGCAGGCTCCCCAGTCAACTTCCTCTCATCCTCAGGGTCCCTGAAGGTCAGAGCTTTCAGACACTCTGGCCAGTTAGTTCCTCTAAATGAGTCCACCTTCCACAACCCAACTTAAGCACCATGTTTCCTTCCCAAGTAGCAGAACTCTACCAAGTTGATCAAAAACAGGGAGTTGGGTGGGGAAGCGTTCTCCCTGGCAAGGTTGCACAGCCAGTGCAGCCAGTCAGGAAACTAAATCCTGCCGGCTTATACACTATCCCTGCAGAAAATCCCATACTCAGTAAGACCAGGCTGCCCAAACAAGTTGTAATTCCTAATGTGGCTGGCTGAAAAGGACAACCTCATTTTAAATCAGAGTCAATAAATAAATGTGTTGACTTGAAAGAGAATCCATACCTCAAAAGGGTATGCATTCAGAAAGCACTCAGAATCTCAATTACCCTGGGTGCTACAGACATGTTCCCGCCACCCGGATCATATTTGCCAATAAATGACTGATCACCTTGCTGGGTTACAAGTCCCAAAATCACAGCATCTTAAAATGGAAAGGTCTAGTGAACACACAGACATCATCTACTTTACCACCGTTTTTAACAAAGGGGCAAAAAAGAGATTAAGACCCAGAGTAAAACTGCTCAAATTCAGTGACAGAATAGCTCAAATCTGAAGTTTCTCACCATTCATCTTCCTAGCCTGCTGCCTCTGAGATACAATTACCAACAGGAACACTTACACAATTATTTTCACATAAAAATATTTTTAAAATTAAGTTGGACACAATTGGTTAAATCTACCATGGCTGCTATTGAAAAAGTAAAATCTCAATGGGAGAACGAAATAAAGCTGGAGTTGACAAAAACTAACTTTTGCTCCGAATTGTACTCTCAGCCCCAAAATTCACTCTAGAGGGGAAAACGCCTTTCCTGGTGCAAAGTGAAATGCAATGTTATTCCCAACGAGGCTCTCCAATTGTGTGCCATTATTTTACATTAGAACAATTACTGGGTAAACAAATGGCAGTTGTACAAGGTAGTTTCCTAAAGCCACCATTCACTATACCTGATATAGTCACTTTCTCAGAAGGTTCAAAGGTCAAAGCACTCTTTTTTGCCTTAAAAAGAGAGAGGAGATACGTCTTTAGGCGTAAGGATGAGCCCCTGTGAGCAAAGAGGCAGGCTAAGAAGAGCCCAGAAGGGAAACAAAGATACCCATGACCCTAAAACTTTCTCCCCACAGCAGCTGAGGTATTTCATACTGACTCCATTTCACTAGATATGAAGAAGCGTCTCTGACTACGAAACGTGCTATGGGAGCCTAAAACAAACGCCAAAGGTTTGAGTCCTCCGTCTCCCCTGTGTATGGCAGGCTGAGAGACGCCAGTGCTGCAGAAAGCAAAACTGTCCTTGTTTCCATTACATCATCCAAGTTGGGGGGAGGGTGGGGCGGGGGGCACAGCTGGTGGCAGCTGCACTACCATCTGCTTTCCCCTCCGCAGTGTGCTACTTTGAGCTGTAGCCTCCTACGGCTCCTGATAGAGGAAGCACAAGATTAAAGGCACAACACCCTATTATGGAAAAGAGTTCAAATTATTTAGGAATAAATCACTCTTGTGATAAGTTAACAACCTCAGGTAGGTTGTAGAGCCGGTTCTCTTTGAGTTGAGGTTATTTGTTTGCATCTCTTTAGACCCAGCTACAGTGCAAACTCTGTCAACTCATTGTGCCCAATTAGACAAGCAGAATGTACAAGAGTAACCACCTGCCATCTGCTTCCCAAAAGGTAGGCAGCCAAAAAGTGCAGGTCTGCAGCTGGGAGCATTTACAGAAACCAGGGGGAGGGTGTGCAAACCCAGCAAGCAAACCTCTGACAAGTGGATGGGTACTTGCTGCTCCCCCTGGAACCCTAACCCATCTGGTTAACTGGTCTTGCCCTCTACACGATTGGAGTTCCCTTCAGAACAAACTGTGAGGCATCCATCCCCCTGCAGAGAGGGAGAGTGCTAAGGGGAGCCTGGGTAGGTAATGCCTCTCTGGCCATTCAGCTGCAAACTGGCAGCAAAGCTGAGTGAGAACAGGATGGTTAGAGGTCTGATCAAGTTCATGAGCATGTTTTTTTTTTGTTGTTGTTGTTTTGTTTTTCTCCGGTACCGGGAACCGAACTCACGACCTTGTGCTTGCCAGGCAGGCGCTTTGCCACTGAGCTAAATCCCCAGCCCCCATGAGCATGTTTTATCTGGCCTGTACAGCGTTGTTTTTTTTAAAAAAATGCCGGCTTTTTAAAAAGAGTAGATCTCATATGCACATTTAGGTTGGATGATGGGCTCATTCTGGGGGTAAAAGAAAATGAGAGATTTCCCAGCAGCAGGGCCTCAGTTCCCCACGGCAGAGTGACCACACTCCCTTTAGACTGAGCCTCTGTACCGAGGGACCTGTCCGCACCCTGTGGTTTCTGCATACTCCACTGTAACTACCTGCACTGCTACCTGGACCTCGAGAGCTTCTGATGTAGCACCACTGCACAGGCAGAGAAGAAACGCCCAGTGAGTAATTCCCCAGTGGGCCCTCATTTATACCCCTCTTTAGCCAAGCCTCGGTTTTTCGGATGAGCAACTATAATTCTACAAGATCATTCAATCCAATCCAATGAAAAGACCTCATGAGAAGGCCAGCTGAATCTCTCCCCTGCCACGCAGCAGGTTGTGGTATTTCAAAGCAGCGTTCCAGGCCACTTACCATACATTTTGCCTTCGTCTGATAAGATGATTTTCCTCCTCCCACATGGCGGATAGATAGCCAGGGCCTCCTGAAAGCTCTGCTCAATGTCGGGGCTCCAGACCCCTTCCGCGTCATTGTCAATCGGCTTATCTGCAGAGTCACTCATCCTTTCCATGTTTTCGGCAGGGCTCTCGCTGCCGCTCCAGCTGCTGGGCTCAATTTTGGCGGTTGGATTTTCCAAGCCGAAGCCTGGAGCCTTTTCAAGAAAATAAGCCTAAAAGAGAAATCACAAAACAGTATAATCACTAAATAGTATAGGCCATGGTAATTACAAACATACTGTTTTTGCTAATTCTGCTGCATGCTCTGCAGCTACCCGCCTTGCTTGGAGAATAACTCCTACTGGAGACTATGGAATTTTGAGATCCAAGTGGCTTTCTTCTCTATGTGGCATGTTAAGCACTCATACAGAAATGCAATGGCAGGCAAGGCTGGATAATCTTCACAGATGAGAGGAAATGTTTGCCCAAGAAGAGCACTCATTCCCCAGAGCTGCAAGTTTGGAGGTATTCATAGGAAAACCATTTATTAAACGCTTACTATCTACCAGGGCACTTAGCTCGATGACAGTCAAAGCTCCATAGCAGAATGAGTTGTTTATAAGAACATCAAGTAAAATAAAAGATGTCAGCTTCATCACAGCAACTGGCATTCTCCCTGAAATGTCAAACCGTCTCAATATGAGATCAACAACAAGCAAAATGGTTGGCAGGAGCCAGGAAGGAGGAGGAAGACTACTTGTTGCCACAATTATTCGTCCTACTGAGTCAGCAGTGCCACCTGACCTGGACATTTGCAGTGATCCTCGGGACTCAGCCTGTACTGTCAGGTCACTTTGCCACTCTTCTAAACTACAACCCTGAGGCAAGGCCCAAGCTGTCCCCAGTCCCACCTTTCCTACAACAGCTACCACAAGGGCCTGGAGCACTTGTAGAAATGGTCTCCACCTACATGATGCACTTCCCTTCATGGTGTGGCCTGCTCTGAATTCCTGACCACATGAAAAGAGCTGGTTGAGGGGTGAGCTTTACTTTTCTGTGGGACTGTGAATTATACAACCAAAAGTAATCTTTCTCAAAAATGTAGTCCCCTTCAATTATGCATGTAACCTATGGTCAGAAACGGATAAGCTTTCTGAACAAATGTCACACTGGCATAACACCACTGTGAAAATGATCTAATCCGGCACTCCCTGCTGTCCTGAACACTAACATATCAATATTCCTTTGTTGAGAAGCCATTAGGTCATTAACTCAAAGTCCTCCCCAAAAGAGGGGGAAGAACTGTTCCTACAGACGGATGGCAAAGGAGAGCCAGAAGCCTGTATCGGGAATGCATTGTGTGACCACTGTTCCTCCCCCCCACCCCCTCAGGTCTGTACAATATTACAACAGAGGCACCCAGGAAGAAAGCAAGTGCTGGTGCACTTCCACAAGCGGCTCACCCCTTTCCTTCTCTCTCCAACTGAATCTCCAGTCCTCCCCCACTGGGATCCCGTCCTCCCCCACTGGGATCCCGTCCTCCTCCACTGGGGATCTCAACAGAGCCCGGGTGGGGAAACTCAGGGGAATGCTACACAATTAATGCCTTGACCAATGGGTGCCTTTGCTTCTCTTTCTGACATCTTTTTGGATTTGGTAGCACCTAGTTTTAAAAGGGAATTTAGAAAAAAAAAAAAAAAAAAAAAAGACTTCAGGTTGTGTGCCTTTAAATGCTGCCCCTGAACTATCCTTCAGAGAACCTGTGAGCAAAAAATTTACTGCTCTTTACCAACACATGTACACTTACATGGGACTTTAAAAACTGCCAAATGCTAAGGTCTAAATTATGCCACCAGAAAGTATTTCGTGAATGACCCCCAGATGAACTCCGCAATGCCTGCAGTGTGGGTCTTTTGAATTCTCAAACTATTACATTTTGTATTGGGATCTAAGAGTCTTTTAAAGTTCAAACTGAACTACTCACTACCCAAGAGTCTGCTTAAGCACCACAGCAGCTTATTGGAGAAATTACAAGAACAAGAGGAACTCTGGCAGAGGTTAGCCCACCCTCTTCCCAAACAAAATGAAAATAAAAGCAAAACAACACACACATACAGAACCCCAGGCCATGCCTTGAACTCTGGGTGTTCACAACAGAATCAATTCACTCCAGGGAACCACATTTTAGGATAAACAGTAAACCAGACGTGGTGGCGCATGCCTGTAATCCCAACACTCAGGAGGCTGAGGCAGGAGGATCACTAGAAGTTCTAGGCCAACCTGGGCTACATAGTGAATTCAAGGCTAGCCTGGACTACATAGTGAGATCATGTCTGGGTAGCGGGGAGCAAACGTCCCTGGTGCTCTGCTACTATATAACGAAGGGATGGAATCCAAGGCAGTGAGAGGTGGCTGAGGGGCCAGACCTTTGTTTGCCTAGAGAGAACATACCATACAATTAAAAGCCACAGAGTAACCAGACCAGAGGGCACCAACAACCCCCACCCAATGCTTCAAGTCCCCTCTAAATCTCTCAACAGCTAGCCCCCATGACTGCTGGAACACCAATGACAAAGCCCACTTCCTCCTCAAGACTGCCACCTCCACACTGGCATGCCGAAATTCTCCCACCCGTCAAGTGAAAAGTCATTTCCTGACTAACTTCTACTCGCCTACCCCTTGAAGGTGTATCCATCCCTTAGAGGAGCCAATCTCTCCCAAACACTTAGGGATGCCTGGGACAAAGCCCAGGCTCTGGTTTTCTATTAGAGAGGACACTACTGTCTCTTTGCCCCCAAATGTACTTCCATTTGTCCGCAAGTGTCAATCAATGGCACCCACAGCTGGGCTTGGGATGCCTAAGGCCTCCAAACTCCCACCTCCTGAATCCTGATTCTTATGTAATTGGTTTCAGAGCTAAAATTAGGAGTTTACATTTATTCCTATCAAATTTCATTATTTTTCACCCTAACCAGGGGGCCACAGCAGGTAGGATCCCTTTAAACCCTTACTGTTAAGACCTTTGTCCTCAGACACTGAACAGCCCCTGAAGAGCCGTCTGCACAGGGCAGGGCAAGGCCATCTGTGGACGCTCCCAAGCAGACTCTGAGACAACACGAGGGAAGCTGCTCTGCTAGCTGAGCTGTTCAGCAAGGGCTGCAGAGCCGCCAAGCAGAGTCCTGCAGACACCCCTCAAGTTACTTCCATGGCTGGGCATCACCGCCCCTGGCTGTCTGGGGAAATGCAAGATCACAAGCACTGACTGACTGTCGCATCCGTATTCAGAAGTATAGACACTATTCTAAACACTCCGATGTTTTGATTCACTTACGGCAAAGTGAAGAACTCTATCCAGGCTCTTGCGATTTGGTTGACTGTGCCTCAGCAGGATGGAATTACCTACTCTGGATGCAGCCCAGAAAACACCAGATACATAATCCACAGTTACTCAGGCTCATAGTTTTACAACCCAATTGTAAGATGAGGCCCTGTATGGGCAGTTTCCGATCACAAGACTGGTGCTGGCTGAGAAACACTCCCTGTCCTGGATACAGAAATAACCATTCTGGCATTCTGTGCCTCAGCTCCAACTCCACCTCATCCTGGAAACTGTCCTTGGATCCAGTGGCTCTGCGAGTACCAAACACACTTTAAGAGTATCCTAAAAATGGGTTGATGTCTCCAGTTCCCATGTATTTTCTGAGTAAGGGTGTCTGTTTTCCTTCAGTTCAGTCCATGAAGAACAACACAGTATTGAAGGGCTGGGAGAATCTTGGTGTGGGTGGTATTAAGACAAAAACTGATCTGGGTTCCAAACCTAGCTCATCCAAGAGCCATGCAAACCAAACTGGGTTAGTTAATCTCTCAGAAGCTCAAGTTTTCACCAGTAAAATGGAGATAATTAAATTTTAAAATACAGAACCATCATTAAGGGGTAGAAAGACCCACCCCCACACGGCTACCACAGTGATTCAGTGAGATAATAAAGGCACTCTGCCACCCATAAAACAATGAACAGGCCCTGACTGCAAGTCCATCTTCCCTAGATAGTGATCTGTGGCTCCTAACGCCAAACTACCTGCTAAAACTAAGATGGTGAGAAAAGGCTGGTACTTCCCCTCATGGTTCAGTTTGGGAAACCAATTTACAAAGGATCTCCTTAAGGTCTTTAAGATGATTACACAGAAAATTTGAACTGGGGACAAATGCCTTTATTACCAGCACACATCTATAACCAACCTTTTTCACAGGTTCAGTAGTTTTCACATTCTTAAGGGCAGGGTAGTTCAGTGGAGTGAACTGTCCACAGAACACCTCCAAGAGAAGAAAGCAGACAGGAAGTTTTGTTTGTTGAAAATACATGTATATTCTGCAGCCCCATGTGCCTCAGTTTCCATCATGAACACTTCCTGAAAGCTACTTCTTTCCTGAAGTTCTTCCCAGTCATACTACAATAAACTCTAAAAACAGCTGTTACCAGTAATTCAAGTATCCTGCTCGCTGCCCCAGCAGACACACTCCGTAAATGGATAATCCTTTCACAATTCCCACTGTCAATTTGAGAACAGTCACAAGAGTCCAGGAAAATGATATCATATGTGCTCTGGGCCCACACACTCTATTCTGAACAGCTGGAGATAACGGGGGAGAGCAGTAGATGTGTGGCTTCTGATACCACCTGCACAGGTAGAAAGCGATGAGGTGGGATACAGGGACCTGCTGCTCCCAAGAGTCTGTCCCAATGCAGCATCTCTCCCACTTACAAATGACTTAAAGACTTTTAAATAAAAGGGTTAGTTTTTAATGATTAATGAAATGCCACTGAACATTTGGGTTCACCAAGCAGTCCAGCTTTTGTTTTAACCAGTACCTTAATGGTCTCTGATAGATGTGATCTTTTTATATAAGGGAGTAGTGCTCAGCCATGAAGGAGGATAAACTGGAGGCTTTTACAGGTAAATGGCTGCAACTCGAGACCATACTCATAAGTGAAATAAACCAGGTGCACATGTGCAAACATCTTACTGTCTCCCTAGTGTGAGAAGCTGAAAGAGTAAATAATGTAAAAATAATGTACAAAATGCATAGTATGTACAATAATGTACAAGATATACAATGTAAAATGGAAAGAAACTATTCAAAATGAAAGAGAAACTGGGGTGGGGGAAAGGAGAAAAGAAGGAAGCAAAAATATATATAAATATATAAAATATATATATGTATATACACACGA